CGAGCAGGCAAGCAGGGGGGGGCAGTTTGGGGTGATCAGGCTGGCGGGGGGGCTTTTGGGGGCAAGCAGGCCAGTAGCAAGGGGGGGCAGTTGGGGGCGAGCAGGCCAGCAGGCAGAGTGGTTAGAGGCAATCAGGCAGGCAGGCAGGTGAGCGGTTAGGAGCCAGCAGTCCTGGATTGCGAGAGGGATGTCCAACTGCTGGTTTAGGCCCGATCCCTGTAAACTGGCAGTAGGACATCCTTCGAGGGGTCCCAAATTGGAGAGGGTGCAGGCCAGGCTGAAGAACACCCTCCGCCCCCGTGCATGAATTTCGTGCACCGGGCCACTAGTCCTATATAATAAAAGCCTAATATGCTAAGTATCCGGTCGTCCGTTCAACCAATCAAAGCATAATATGCTAATCATATGCTAAGGCCGCTCAACCATTTGCTATGATGTGCACTGACCACCAGGAGGTAGATGCTCCAACTGGTAGGTTAGCTTGCTGCTGGGGTCCGGCCAATCAGGACTGAGTGAGACGGGCCGGACATGCCCTGGAGCCCTCCTGCGGTCCCTCTCCAGCTGGCCAACCTTCCGTGTCCTTCCCTGGCCCCGATTGTGCACCAATGGGGTCCCTTGGCCTGGCCTCCACCCTCTTGCAATCCGGGACCCCTTGGGGGATATTGGAGAGGCGGTTTCAGCTCAATCCTGCAGGCCAGGCTGAGGGACTCCACTGGTGCATGAATTCGTGCACTGGGCCTCTAGTGATAATATATGCACCTCTGGACAAAATAGGGGACCAGCAGTAACCAAAACTTAATAGTTCTGCTAGACCATGATTGTTTTACCTGGCACCTCAAAGTTAATATTAGCCTAAATTGCAAATATTATTCAATAGTTTAGTATTTAGAATATTATATTATAACATGAAAACTATATAATACAGTGTAGCCAAAATATATAACTAACTAACAGAATACCTAAGTGTAGACACAGGTCAAAGTGGGTAATTGTGACTTAAGAGTCATGGAAATGGTGGCAATCTTTCACCAATGAAAGCAATAATTTGACATCTGATATTTCAAAAGCAATAATAATTTTCTATTTGAGTATTCCTATTTGGAAAACACATTTGAGCTACATTTCCAAAAATATTATAATTGCTTAAATCAGGATTCAATGTGAATTGCACTATACCTTTCAAAGTGGGTGGGAAGCAGATGAAACTTATCTACCAGAGCAAGCTTTAGGCTTTTGGCTGGAAAGATAATTTTACTCAGAGAGGAACATCTGGTAAAGTTTATTCAATAGTCTTCACATTGACACTGCGCCTAAGACCTTTTCACATAATGTGTACACATGCTACTAAGTCTACTTAATGATTTTTAAGAACTGGAATATAAGGAATATATTAAAATGCATAAATCAGAAGCCCTGGTAAAAAATAAAAATCCAACTTTTAAATTAGCCATGTGATAGTATAAAATAACAGAGGAAGCTCTGCAGAAGGTAAGTTCAAAGATCTGAAGCATCAGTAAACAACTTCACCAGTAAGCATATTTTCTAATATCTAATTAATTAAAGCCCAGAAATTAATTCATTCTGTGGATGGGTGTTGATAATTACCTTTGCATTATATATGTAAGTATTAAAAAAATAAGATTATAAAAAATTTAGGAGATGATTAGTATATTGGGATGTTAAAATATTTTAAACACTATTTCAAGTATCAGTCCCTTTTTTAAATAAGGTTTTCTATTGATTTTTTTAGAAGAGAGGGCGAGGGATAGAGAGATGGAAACATCGATGATTGATGGGATGCCTCCTGCACGCCCCCTACTAGGGATTGAGCCCACAACCCGGACATGTGCTCTGACTGGGAACTGAACCGGTGACCTCTTGGTTCCTGGATGGACGCTTAACCACTGAGCCACATCAGCCAGGCAAGTATCACTCCCTTGAATAACAATGTGATCATTTTAAATGTGTCTCAAGGGCCTGTTATTCAAGGGAAAGTAATCAGAAATTATGGTCTATACTTGTACTGTTCATTACAGCAGTCTCTAGTCACACGTGACAATTTACATTACTTAAAATAAAATTATAAACTCAGTTCCTCATGACACTAGCCACTGTGCAAGTGGTCCGTAACCATATGTGACTCGTGGCTACTATATTGGACAGCACGGATCATGGACATTTCCATCCGTACAGAAAGTTCTATTGGGCCACACTGACCTTGAAAGGACTATTAAATAGCTATCAAAATATTAACTGCGGTAATATGGAAGTTACTTGAGATAAAATGTTAAGTGAAAAAGAAGTAGGCTATATAATTTATACATGTAAGTCATAATTGCAACCATGTAAAAATTCAGGTTCCTTCCTTCCTTCATGTTACTTAGTACCTACTGAATGTCAACATTGCCCTGGGTGTTGGTGGGGGGAGGAGGGCAGTAAAAGATGAGTGAGACCTGTTCCCTGACCTTGAGGAGCTTGTAGTCCAATGAAGGAAGGCAGATAAGGAAGTAGTATGTGCATTACACTATCACAGAGCTCTGATGGAAATTTGCAAGGGACGAAGGAAGTCCCTCAAAATCCAAAGCCATCAATTCCATCGAGGAAAGGAGATCATTATGTGAGCAGTTTGCTAGCCAGACAGACTGAGGAAGAGGAAAGGAGAAAATGGGTTGTCAGTCAGAGAACTGGCCCGAGCACTTTTTAAGGTCCGAGACTTGCTTAAGTTTGTAACTTTAGAGTTTAGAACTCTAAATGCTTCTAAGTCTGAATTGAACCAAGCACGGGGAGTGAAGGAAGGCATGAAGATGTAATATGAATGGGATGGCCCAGTGTATTAGATTCCAGGTGTGAGGAGAAGTAAATCATTTGTCAGGCAACAGAACTGGACTTAACCCTTAGTGAATGTGAAAATGAAAGACTTTAAACAGAAAAATAGGAGAAAAGATCAGAAGAAACTAGTAATAACAGTAGGATTAGGGTTTTTCTTTATGATTATCAGTAATTTTCCTTTCCTTTCCACTGTCTTAAAAACTTTTGCAGTGTAGGCATATCTGTTTTATAAATCTGTGTGAAAAATAAAAAGACAAACAACTTTGTCATCTACTGGCTTCCCATGATGAATTTCCATGACAACACTTGTCGTCACTTTGCATTACTGCTTGGGAGTAAGGACAATCATAAAATTAACTAGCTTTTATTGAGCTATTTTCTTAGACCACACATGGTTCCAAGTATTTTACATGTATCAGTTAATTTATTAAATCTATGAGGTAGCTACTAACAGATCCATTTCACTAAGGAAGAGATTGAGATTATTTGGAAGTGAAGAAACTTGTCCAATGGTACAAATGAGTATGTGGCAAAAACAATCTAATCTCGGAGCCCCAAATTTACCTTGTATTAAATTACTCAGTAATTCAGAATATTCACCATTTCATTCTGGTTTGCCCTCCCTCATTACATTCCGGGACCATTCAGTTTTCTATTCTGAAGGCAGATCCTAGTGTGAAGAGGTAGATAGGAATATGACCCAGTTTTTAAAAAAATTCAAAAGATCAACCCCAGTTATCTGCATATCATGCTCATTCACTTCCTGAAAGTTTCTGCTCAAATGTCTCCCAGAACATGGCTGGCATACGTGGATGTTCAATATACATTTCTAAAATGAATGAATAAATGAATGAATGAATGAATGAATGAATAGGTGAATGAATGAATGAATGAAACATAGTATCTTTAAAAAGATTAAATTTTACTTGATATATAAAGATGACTAGACAGAAAACTATTATTTTATTTCAATTAAAAAGTAAGAAATGGGAGAAATAAAATTTTTATTATAATTCTACTACTGAGAAAATTCAATTAAGCCGTAATACTTTATTCTCCAAGTATTTCAGATAATCAAACTCCAGATATTAATGATGAGCTGGACAGAAGTAGTCTAAGCAAGTGGCACTGAAGTCATTCACTTTGGCATGGATGAGAAAGGAGGCCCCCTGAGGGTCAAGAAAAACACCACACCAAGGCATGCTGCTAAGGACCACGGATCCAAGAAGTAAAGGGAGCAGGCTAGAAACAGGCATCTGCCGGAGGGGAGGGGAAAATCCCTGGTTTAATTGCTCACTGGATGAACAAGCAAAACAGAAACAGACTCATAGATACAGAGAACATTTTGGTGGTTGCCAGATGGGAGGGGGGTTGGGGGGACGGGTGGAAAAGATGAAGGGATTAAGAAATACAAATTTGTTGTTACAGCATAGTCATGGGGATGTAAAGTACAGCATAGGGAATACAGTCAATAATATTCTAGTAACTACGTATGGTGTCAGAGGGCTAATAGATTTATCAGGATGATCACTTGGTAAGTTATATAATGTCTAATCCCTGGGGTGTATGTACACCTGAAACTAATATAATATTGTATGCCAACTGTAATTGAACAATAAGAAATGATTTTAAAAAAAAGAAAGCCTATAAAAGAGCAAATGCCTAGCACTGTCAGAAACGTAAGATAAAACTGAGCACTTGAAGCTGTAGTCACTTGATTCACTTCTCTGAAGAAGGCAGGTTCGTGAATGAGAAAGGATCTAAAGGCCTGTTCAACACTATGAAGTGAAATTAGGAACCAAAAGAAAACTTAAGACTATATTTCCAGAATTGAAACCATCCAAACAGTTCTTTTCTTCTTGTATAAAGTAGGTATTCTTTGGTTGTCAATTTTAAATAATAGTCTTTATAATTCAAGTTCCGTTTTTATAGTCTTGATATAGAAATGTTATTGATTTAAATAAGCTTACTTGAGTCTTTCAAACATTTAAATATGCATTATATGTTTGATTTTTTATATTTTGAATAACTGAGATAATTAAAAGAATTAAAGAGGGCATGTATATTAATCTCTTCTTACCTGGAGGGTGAGTAAGATGCTGCTCAATGTATAGCTTGTTTTCCACTTACGAGGGTCGTCCAAAAAATCTATACAGGGTCGACCAGTATGTTGGTCTACTGTATTAAAATAATACATTAATAGTAATATGTATATAATAAAATTATTATCTAAAGTTTACAAACACCAAAATCTGACAGGCAAAGTTAGAAAGCAAACGACAAAGCAGAAAATTATGTGCAATGAATATGCCAGTTAACACAGTGTAACTATTAAAAGCATGGACTTTCAGCCCTGGCCAGTGTGGCTCAGTTGGTTGGGCTTTTTTTCTGTGCACTGGAAATTTGCTGTTTCAATTCCTGGTCAGGGCACATGCCTGGGTTGTGGGCTCAGTCCCAGTAGGGGGTGTGCAGGAGGCAGCCAATTATTGTTTCCTTCTCACATAAATGTCTCTCTCTCTCTCTCTCTCTCTCTCTCTCTTTCTCTCTCTCTTTCTTCCTCTCAAAAATCAATAAAAGCATATCCTCAAATGAGGAATCAAAAAAAGAATCTAGTATGTATTAAAACTGTTGTATGTTAAAAGTGAAATTATGGCTCTAACCGGTTTGGCTCAGTGGATAGAGCATCGGCCTGTGGACTGAAAGGTCCCAGGTTTGATTCCGGTCAAAGGCAAGTACCTTGGGTGCGGGCACATCCCCAGTAAGGAGTATGCAGGAGGCAGCTGAATCGATGTTTCTCTCTCATCTATGTTTCTAACTCTCTATCCCTTTCCCTCTCCCTTCCTCTCTGTAAAAAAATCAATAAAAATATATATTTTTTTAAAAAAGTGAAATTATGATTCAGTGGTGAAAGAAAAGGTGAAAAAATGGTATAAAATGTGTTGTTGCAAAATACTCATCGTCCTTCAATATCTACTCTTCCTCTCTTCCATTTCCTCTCTGTAATACGACTACACATGCCCCAATACCCATTACCCTACACTGTTTAGATGAATACATGGTTGCTCAGACTATTTTCTCCTGCCTCCCCTCTAGCAAGAAGCCCTGTGACTAAGTTTTAATCATGGGATATCAACAGAAGTAAAGTATATACCTTTTGGATCATATTTTCTTAAGGAAATTGTTTTACTTTCTCTTTCCCCCTTCCCCAATGGCTGGAAATGGTGTTAAACAGTAAATGCTTTAGATCCAGAAACAGAAGTCATAGATTGAGGATGGCAAAACTTCCCTGCCAACTTTGTCCTATTATGTGTAGATTGGAAAGATATATGGAAGCTTGGCCTCTGCACTAATATTCAGTTAATTAAGTCAACCTGTATTTTTTAAAAACAAAGAATAGAGTTAAATATGCAAAATGAAACTATAGAATAACCAGAAGAAAGTTAAAATAATTTGATTGTGTTTTGGAAAGAACTTCTAAACTTAAAGATAACTGTAAGAATGTCAAAGGACAAGACTAATAAATATGACTATATAAAATTTTAAAAATCCCAAATGTAAAAAAAACCCAAGCACCAATAAAATTTAAAAATGACAAATGAAGAAAAATATTTGCAACACCTACAACAATGTGATAACATTTTAAATAATCCAGACAATTCAAGAAATCAAAAACACAACAAAGAGATATGAAAAAATGTTAATCTCACACATATTTAAAAAGCGCATATTAAAATAACAGATTCTTATTAAATTGTCAAAAAATATTTCTCCAAAGTTACAATGTCCAGAATTGGAGAGCAGTAAAATATGAACTTTATATGTGCTTCCTGGTGGGATTACAAATAACATCAGTGAAAGGCAATTAGGTTGTATGTATCTAAAGACTTAGAACTGAGCACACAGTTTTTGGTGTATGGGGCTAATAACATTCCTCCCCTCCAAAGTGTGTATATAATAAATAGAGTGTTAAAAGATGCAAGTGAAAAGTATCAACTTCACGATACGTAAGACTGAAATGGAGAATGCTGATCAATGCTTTAATCAAGTTCCATAAAAGTCCCCCTGATTTGAACTTAACCCCTCAAATGGAGTCCTGCCTAGGTTTCCTGCCTGAAGATACAGAGACGGTACCCATTCTAAGGTCCGGCTTATTAGAAGGAAAGTTTTGAGAAAGTGCTGAGCCACACATGCTCAATTCTTTCTCAGATCTCCCCAATTAGGTAAGTCATTCCTCCTCCTGGGAGGGGTAAGGGAGAGAAAGAAGAGCAATCACAAGTTTTCCCATATTTCCTCCTCTTCTTTACTAATGCATAAAAATGCAACAGATTCTTGTGTATTAATTTTGTATATACTGCAGCTTTATCAAATTTGTTTATTAGTTCCAACAGTTTCTGAGGGGGGGGCCTTTATTAATGTTTTTTTTTTAATATATATATATAATATCAGGCCATGCGCAAATGACAGTTTTACTTCTTCCTTTCCAGTTTGGATGCCTTTTATTTCTTTTTCTCATCTAATTGCTTTGGCTAAAACTTTTAATACTATCTATACTAATAAAAGGGTAATATGCTAATTAGGCCAGACATCTTCCGGACATCCTTCCGGACGTCCTTCTGGACAAAGCCGTGGTGGGGGCCGAGGCAGAGGCGGTTAGGGGTGATCAGGCTGGCAGGGTAGAGCAGTTAGGGGGATCAGGCTGGCAGGGGAGAGCAGTTAGGAGGATCAGGCTGGCAGGCAGAAGTGGTTAGGGGTGATCAGGTAGGCAGGGGTCCCGAATTGGAGAGGGTGCAGGCCGGGCTGAGGGACCCCCACCCCCACCGTGCACGAATTTCATGCACTGGGCCTCTAGTGTTGGATAAAAGTAGTGAGAATGGGCATCCTTGTCTTGCTCCTAAATTTACTTTATACTTTAATGTAATTTTTCCAACTACATTATTGATTTTGAAATTAAAACCTATTTTTAAAGAATAAAATTAAATTTATGATACAGAATTAGTTGTGTACATTTGCCATTATTTGCTTAAAATAAACACTGAAAGAAATGGAATTACTGGATTAAAGACCATGGGAAGAGGTGTTCTTATATGTCCTTGTCCTCACCTCCCATTCCACAGAGTAGACCTTCCTTGTTCTGCTTAAGAGCAATATATGGAGAGCTTTAGAACATTTCACTTTTAAAAATGTTCTATATTAATGGATATTGGAATCATTCCTATTTCTCTATTATTATTGGGAGCAAACACCTTTTTAAACATTCTCTTGCACACTTGTGCTAGTATTTCTATGGAATAATTTGTAAACATAGTATTACAGGATTTAGGGCTATTTGCATTTTATATTTGATTAGAAACTGTCAAATTGCTTCCCCAAAAGGACATCTGAAGGGCATCATGTCAGAGGACCCATATTTGTCCAACTTTATTAAAATTGTTATTTTAATAGTCTATAAACATAAACAATGAATCACAATTTTATGCATTTTATATGCAGTTTAACATGCATTTTCTTCTTATTAGTGAGATTGAACATATTTTTACATTTTTTTGTTATATTTCCTCTACCAAATGTTTGTTTATAGTTTTTGTCCATTTTCCTATTGCTTTATGTTTTTTATTGATTTACATGTATTCTTTATATGTTATAGATATTCTGTTTTATGTGTTGCAAATATTTTCCCTCAGTTTGTAAATCAATGTATTTTGTCTCTGTTTATAATGTCATTATCTGTAGTTTAAAAAAGTTTATGTAGTTTAATGTGTCATGCTTTTTCCATGCTTTTCAGTTTCTATCACATTTAGAAAGGCCTTCTTCACCAAGCACATAAAAAATTATATTAAATTCCCTTCTTTGTAGTATTTAAAATTTTTAGTTTTTTAATCAATCAGAAATACACTTTGTATATGACTTAAAGTAGCAATCTAATGTAATTTTATCTAAAATGTTAATTTGTCAGTGTATCATATTTTATAACAAAAATTAATCCAACTAAAATACTGAACAATGTAGTCATTAAAAATGATCTTTTGAAGAATGTTTAATAATGCAGCCATAAGCTTATGTAATACTAAATGGAAAAAAACTAGTTGCAAAACTTTATATCTAATACCTTAACTATGTGAAAAAAAAAATACATATATAGAGAAAAGTAAATAGATTTAATTAAATGTTGAGAGTAATATCTCTTTGAATTAGGATTCAAAGTGATAATTTTTTCTTTTTATGTTTTCCCCAATAAAAATGCTTACTTTGGTAATCATAACATAGTTGTTATTACATTAAAAAGAAACATTATTAAATACTAATACAGAACAAAGATAATAGAAACAGAGCTCCTGATGATAAAAATCTCATTTGGTCCTTACCATTTGGATGAAAAGGAATGCGTTTAAATTTCACAACTGGAGGGACGAGATTATATTCTGCTGTAAAATTTATTGTCAGCGGGAAGTATATTCCTATAATATAAAAATAAATATTTTTACTAAGGTGTCATGTTGTACTGGTTAACTTCTAACCTGATTAACACTAAAGTTTCTTATTATAGTTTAGCCTCCCAAGGTCCCTAGAGTTTTATTCTTGAGTAAATTGGAACATAGTGTGCATAGACCCCTCTAAATAGTATAATAGACTCCTCAAATCTAATCCCACTATTTTATCAGCCAGTTTTCCATCCACTAACTCCGTCCCCCTAACACTTGTCCCATTCATATTGACTAAACTCACTGTTTCAGAACCTGGTGCACTTTCTCTTTGCCATGCTGTTTATTCTGCCTGAATTTCCTTCCCCTCCACCCCTTCTAAACCTGGCAAACTCTTATGCATTCTTCTTTTTAAAATTAATTTTAGAGAGAGGAAGGGAGAGTGGGAGCGAGAGCGAGAGTATGAGCGAGAGAGAAACACTGATGTGAAAGAGAAACATCAATCAGTTATCTTCAGCATATGCCTTGACTGTGGATGGAACCCTTACCCTTGGAGTGAGGATATGTTTTCCATTGATTTTTATACAGTGGAAAAGCGGGGAGGGGGGGAGGGAGAAAGAGAGAGAAAGAAAGAGAAAGAGAGAGAGACATGGATGTGAGAGAGACACATCAATTGGTTTCCTCCTCTTGCACCATGACTAGGGCCAGGGATTGAATCTGCAACCGAGATACGTGCCCTTGACTGGGAATTGAACTGAAGAACCTTTGGTCCATGGGCCGATGCTCTAACCACTGAGAAAACTGGCCAGGGCAGAAAGCCATTTCTTGACTCTCCAAGCAAAATTAACTAATGAATGCCTCCTTGGCATTCTGTTTGAAATCCTAATAGCACATGTTATATTTTATTGTAATTAACCACTTTACGCGTTGTTCTCCCCTACCTCACTCAGCAAATCTAGTTCATTAATCCACTATTGATAGAATGCATGATCACTAAAGTTTACAGTGGCCTGGTCTTCTTGAGAATTTGATATATGGAAATTTTGGGAAGAATCATAGAAAATAAAAATGAGAGATAATGTGGAATTTTGATGCCAAAAGGAATTTTGATACTATTTTCTGATTTCATGGAAGACTGTTAGAAGATATTTTCAACTGTTATGCTTTATTGTGTCAGCTTCTTAAACAATGTAATAGCATTAAGATTTGGCATAAAGAAAAATTCAAAACTAACATTTCTATTTAGGTTGACAAATGTCAAAAATTAAGCCATACAATGAAAAAATAACATGTGAATACTTTCAGAACTCTAGAAAATTTATATAATGCAACCTTCTTTTGCACATAAAGAAGATGGACTAATAATGGCATAAAGACTTTTTAAAAAGTAGATTGGTTTTGAAAATACATACCATGCCAAATTGTATCCTTTAGACCTTCAATACTAGCTTCCCATTTCAACTTGTCTTCACTTACAGGAAAGGCAGTAATACCCTTTAATTTAAAAAAGAAATCAAAGCAGTAAAAATTTTAATATTTTTTTAAAAATTAAATATTTATTGCAGCTTTGAAAAGCAGTTATCAGGTTACAATGAATTCTAAAAACTCTACATTTTCTTTTCCTGATGAATTTATTTATATGCTGATTTGGGGAGATGTGATATTTTGTGTTATTACATAGCTGTTAAGGTGGGTTCCACACAATCATAAATTCAAGCCAGGCTGGTGTGGCTCAGTGGTTGAGCATTGACCTCTGAACCAGGAGATCATGGGTTCATTCCCATTCAGGGCACATGCCCAGGTTGTGGGCTCAATCCCCAGAGAAGGGCATGCAGGAGGCAGCTGATCAATGATTCTCTCTCATCATTGATGTTTCTATCTTTCTCTCCCTTTCTCTTTAAAATCCATAAAACATACATTTTAAAAATAGTACATTTTAAATAAATCCTAAGTGTGGAAATCACAAGTGGAACTAGAAAGTCAAGATTCGGATGTGTGGCTTATGTACTTCAATAGCCAATTTAAGATTCAAATGGGAAGAGAAGGAATTCATTGGAAAGCATGCATCTCTTCAGAGCTTTTAAAAACTGTATAAATGCTACATGGAAGGCATGAATCAGAACATTTTCATTAAGAAAAACACAACTCCAAAATTATGCTTGCATATAAAAATAAATTCCCCTACAGTTGAGATATTGTTCCAAAAGAGGGACAAGAATGTACAGAGTAGGCAAAAGTAGGTGTACAATTGCTTGCATGGAAAGTAATACAATAATTAAAATATAATACTACAAGAACAAACTGTGTTTCCAGTACTCACACTGTAAACCTACTTATATATATATATATTATTGATATGTTGATATATTATTATATATATATATTATTGATTTTTTGCAGAGAAGAAGGGAGAGGGATAGAGAGTTAGAAACATCGATGAGAGAGAAACATCGACCAGCTGCCTCCTGCACACCTCCTACTGGGGATGTGCCCGCAACCAAGATGCATGCCCTTGGTCGGAATCGAACCTGGGACCTTTCAGTCCGCAGGCAGATGCTCTATCCACTGAGCCAAACTGGTTAGGGCTGTAAACCTACTTTTGACCCACCCTGTATTTCAGAGAAAACCTTATCAATGATGCTGGGAAATACACCTAAATTTACTCAATAAATACTTCTGAGCAACCACATAGTTATTCAGTATGTTTGGTGCTAGTCTGAAGAAACATTGTAAGATATCTCTATTATCTACATTATCTATAATTACATATCATTTCTCCTTCATGGAACTGTCCTTTCAACAGACAACCACAAAGTTCAGGTAGAGCAGAAACAATATGAAAATAACTTCATTGGTGTCATTTGGAGCAAAGCCTTCCTCTGTGTTAAAATTATAAGGGAAGGGCATCTATGTGTTGTGACAAGTTAGCAAAAAGTGCACCATACACAAGTAGTAGAACACAAGACCCTGAGCAAGAGATTGCTCAGCTGGTCAGAGCATCGGCCAGATATGCCAAGGTTGCGGGCTCGATCTCCTGTTAGGATACATAAAAATTTACCAATGAATGTATAAATCAATAGAAGAACAAATCAGTGTCTCTCTCTCTCTCTCTCTCTCTCTCTCTCTCCCTTCCTCTGAAATCAATAAATAAACAAACATTTTTTAAAAGCATCAACCAATGAATGCATAAATAAGTGAAACAACAAATCAGTGTTTTTTCCTCTCTCTACAATCAATAAACAAAACAAAACAAATAAGAGCAATTCTGACGCTAAATATTTACTGAACCTTTTTGAGGTTTAGGTTTCTGATAGGTAAAACAAAACACTACTTATAGTATTGTAATTAATGAGAGCAACCTTTTACCTGTTAGTCACTTACAACGTGATAGACCCTGATATTCAGGGCTTAAGTCTACATATATTTCTCAGCACAATGTGCTCAATATTGTTAGCTATTATCATTATGAAATAATTATTATTATAAAATGGATTGTTATAGTAAAATAGATTTGTTAAACAACAGTACTGCAGTGGTAAATTAGGTTGAACTTAATTTATGCCTTATAGAATAAACGCAGATGAAGCTGCTTTATAAAAGTTCTGCCCCAGTGAAACCCATCCCTCCGGGTCCCCAGTACTCACCGTATACTCGTTCTCTTCCAAGTCTCTCAAGTCTTTTAGCAGCAAGAAGTAACTTCTGCTGCTCATGATAAGGCAGTAAAGAGTCTGGCACTTGGCTCCACACTCCCAGGCGTTGCTCTGAGGCAGGTGTGTGAGGTTACGAGTCACCCTCCCACACCTGGTTAACTGACCTCAGTTATTTGCTTTCTAGAGTTGCAGAACGCCTTGTGCTTCCAAGATAAATGGCTTCCAAATTGGGCATATAATAGCGACTTGCTCTTCTCCTCTGACTCCTCCAAACTAAGACTTTCAGAGGGGAAACTTGGGCACGTTCTTGACCGCCGTGCGACACTGCAGCGCCAGCCCACCGCCCAGTCTCCCGGCAAACTTGGATTAGCACCAGGGACGACCCCGGGTTGTTGGTGCGTGAGGTGGGCGTGAGAGGCATAAGCTCAGGGCGGTGGTAGCCAGTTTTTCTCTTCGCAGGTGTAACTGGGCTCCGCTTAGCTGGTAGACGCAAATCGGTTGCCAGGCAACAGGCCCCTTAAGAAAAGTATGGAGAAGGAGGTGGGAGCTTGGCCGCCTCTCATCCAATCAGCGACAGGGCGCAGACCTCTAGAAACCTCCGGAGCCAACCGTCCAATCGTTTCACTTTGAAAGGCCAATGAGATTCGTCGTCAAGGCCCCGCCCCCGCCTCACTCAGTTCACCAAAGTGGACTCTACCAACCTCACTGGTGTATAGGGTCGGGGTGGAGTCCCGAGGTTCAGCATGTAGAAGCCCTCACTCAAATCCCTCTCTAAATTGATTCTTCCTCGTTCTTTGACTATCAGAGACTATCAAGTAATAAGTGACCAGTAGGTACAGGTGTATTCATAACAGTATCTTAACATATGGCAAGTTACCATTTGAAATCCGTTAACATATATTATATCATCATTATATCATCGAATCCTACAGTTGCCCTGGAAGAATGCTCCAGGAACAGAGCACTACTAATAATTTCCCAGATTCCCATTTCTTGCCGAAGTTTTGGGTTGTATCCCAGCATATCTATGTTTTCGTAGCCTACAGAGCCCTGAAGGAGTTACTTAGCCTCCTGTACTTATGTTTTCTCATCTATTAATATGCAGCCAATAATGCCTATCTCTGAAGATTATTATGAGGATTAAAAAAAATAATGGCTGCCAAGCACTCAGTCATTGCCGAGAGTAAGTGATAGTCCACAGCGGCACTTACCACGTGCTGGGCACACTGTTCTAAATGTTTAACAGACATTAATTGGATTCTCAATCCTAATTTTTATAGTAAGGGAAACTGAGGCACAGAGATGCCACATAATTTGCCTCAGTTTACACAGCTGGAATGCCGTAGAGCCAGGATGCAGACTCCAGGACATGTAGCTCCAGAGACCCTGCTTTTAACCACTAGGCAGCCCTGCCTCACCAAGACCTTGATTTGGAGCTATCTAGCCTTCTTTAATAAGGTATTGCTACTCTCAATAGTTTTCTTTGTGCATCTGTTGCTTTTTTAAAAAAAATATTTTTTGGTGTATTTATTTTTGGCTGCATTTCTACCTGCTAATTTTCTGAGTCCCCTGTCAACTAAAATACTAGTATAAGCCCAAGAAAGCTGGACCACTGCTGTATAAAATAGTGCCTGGCACATAATAAAGGCCCAACTAAGTGTGCATTATGTTTTGTCTTTTAGATTATAAATGTATTAACAAATCCATCTAACTTCTGTAATTTATTAATATATTTATAGCACTCGGTATGTGGCTCAAAAATATCAACTACTAAATATTTTGATATTAACTTTTGTTACTTTAGTAACTTCAAGTGAAGAGTAGATTAATTTAAATCCTACTAGATGCTTTTGGGGCTTTTCCTCACAGACTTTCCCCCTAACAACAGGCCTAGAGGATTGAAAGGAGAAAGGTTGCATTGCATTTTTTATGATAGGCAGAATTCTAAGATGATCTCCAAGATCTCCAGCCCCTGTATAATCTTCAGGACTGTGAATATGATGGGTTTTGGGTGAGCCTGACCTAATCAGGTGAGCCTTAAATGAGACCGGGCTCTTCCCGAAGTCAGTAATTCAACGTGTGAAAAGGATTCCATGTGAGGGAGATGCTCTGTTGCTCCCTTTGCAAATGAAAGGGGCCATGTGGCAAGGAGGGTGGGTAGTCTCTTGGAGGTGAGAGTGGCAGCTGGCTGACAGCCAGCAAGGGAATCAGGGCCTCAGTGTTATAAGAATAAGCGACTGAATTCTACCACAACCATAAGAGCTTGGAGGAGGACCTGAACTCCAGATCAGAACACAACCTAGCCAGCACCTACTGAGGCCTGAGCAGAAAACTCAGTCACGCTGGACCTGTATTGTTTTGAAATAGTACGTTTGTGGCATTTTGAGAGTTAGCAACAGCTAACTAATACAACTTCTGCCTAGAGTGAGCAGCTATTGACCAAGGCAAAGCATGTGGCAAAAGGTCAATCACTCACTGATTTAGTATGAAAAGCATGTGAATCCAGTTAGTAGACATTATCATATGGCTTTAGACAGGGTTAGGGGACAAGATAGGTATGGCATCCTGAAAAATGAAGTCTGATCTAAGCTCACGTACAAATTTTCATCATCCTAGATGAGCAAGGCAACTGAAAGTCAATGCTTTAACATTGGTAAAGTTACTGAGGCCATCTCCAGCTCTAACAACCAAGCATCCCCCTCCCCCCTCTTTTTTAAAAACAATCCTTTCCCTCAGGAGTTGAACAGATGTTTTCATTTTACTTAAACTCTAAGACTGTTTTCCTCATCCACCAGGAATATGTACCAGTACAAAGTGTTAACCTCGTTTGGATTTGAACCCCCATCCTCAAGAGCAAAAGAAGGCTGAGGATCGCCAAATGCCAGCTCAGCTGTGAGACGTGTTTTAAATCATATTTTGACGTATGTTACGCTGTTAACTAGAAAATGAAGTGCAGCACACATGCTTCTAGTAACTCTGGTTTCAAATCATATGATCCCTCCTTTGTCTTGAAGACCTTTTGATGTGCATTCCCATATTGAGTTTCTCTGCTTTTAATAATCTTATACTCCTTCCTCAATATAAATGTCAGGAAAAATACTGAATGCTAATCTTCAAAGATCAAACAGGAAGAAAGAGGTGGGCAGCCTAGTTCAGTGACTTGAATTCCTGAAATTTCTCATTTAAAATTTTTTATTTTCTCTTATAAAAGCCTAGGATCCAAGAAATGCTGTGTTCCCCTTTGTAAAGTTGAAGTATAACCCTCCCCCCCCCCCTCAATTTCAGAGTTGTGTGAATTACAAAATAATTTGGTCTTTCCCTGCAAGGCACCTGAGATGCAGGGGCCAGTGATCAGTATTTATATCTATAGTTGTGTCTACTTAACAGATAGGAACTCTGAATCCATACATGCTGGCTTTTATTTCACCTTCTTGGCTTTTTCTATGGGGGACCAAGAGTCCAAGTTTGCCTGGGACTGGGTGCTTTCCTGGGAGAAAGGACTTTCATTGTTAAAAGTGGAATAGTCCCTGGCAAACTGGCACAGGCCAACACTCTAGCTTGGGCATCAAGGACCCTTTCAAGGTGGGAATTGTGTAGATAATTTGGTAAAAGCTGCTTCTTTGTTTTTGGACCTTGATGCTTAAAGGAACCTAATTTGTTTTCTATTGCAGGTTCTGCTGCCCATACCCCATCATCAAGGTTCTGAAAAATAAATCTCAGAATTCCTTTAGGAGAGGCTCGTAGAGGGGTTTATGATGAAGACATGCAATGCCTGCCTGGGTACTTTGCATATTTTAGGAAAATCAGGTCTCCTTTCATTTCATTCCTCACTTGGGAACAGCAATCATTGAAAGAGATGCGTTTAATAATATCTAAGTACAACTGAGACCGGTAAGAGTGTGAGGGTGTGGGAGGGGGAACTGCTTAAAAGGTATAATTATTCTAGGCTTCCTTCACATAATTGGTTTAACTAACCTCATACTCAGTTGTCCTAAGGATAATTCCAGAATTTCAACATGGGAGAGGCTTTGAGATGGCAATTGGTTTGGAGCAGGTATAAGGCATGACATATGGTTTAGGGATGGCTCAGGGCAGCGATTTCAACCAGTGTGGCGCAAGAACTTTTAAACCATGCAATACTTCCTCTTTCCCCCTGGATTGTCAAAATAAAAAAATGACAACAGCCAATACAACAATAGCCGTCCGGTGTGGATGAATCAAAATTATACTATTTTTTTTATCAGAGTGGAAAAAAAATGTAATATATTTTTTGGCGTGCGGTAGAATTTTACTGATTAGTTTATGTGTGCCATGAGATGAAAAAAGTTGAAAATCACTGGCTTAGGGATGTGTCTTGGAGGTGTTTCTACTCAGTGTATGTTTGTTTATTAGGGCTGGTTGGAAGGGAGGTGAGGGAATGGCTGAGGGGCTGAGCCCGCCCCCGCTGGTTGGCATCAGCACTGGATATACACATGAAAAATAGAATATACTGTGTTCTAAATTTTTTTTATCACAATAGAAAAGAATGTGTCCCTTTATAAAAATTGTTTAAAACACATTGAATAATAGCAATGTTACCACCTTCTGAGCACTTGCTATGTGTCAGATACTTCCCATATACTTATCCATATTCTCTGATTCCGAAAGACAGGTCTTAGAGGAAAATTACGAAATTGTAGCCCGTTTTTTGAGAACGTTTTCAGGCGCTCTTGTCTGCAGGTTACATGAATTAGCTCATGTATGTTAATGAGCTTCAGTTCTAAAGTAGATCCTTTTTCAGAGGTTGAACTCACAGTTCAGGAACTTTTCTCAATTCACATGGTTGCCAAGGGGTGAAGGGGAGATTTAAGCTCAGGCAATCTGACATCAGAGCCTTTACTCTTAACCTCTATGCTACAGTTCCATTATTTTATGGCTAAAGAAATAGAGATGGCCTTACTCACACAAGGTCATCTGGCCCCTGTGCTGGAGCAGTTGAAAAGTACGTGCTTCATGCTCCCATTCTCTTCGACCAGGTCCCTTGAAGGACAGAAGCCTAGGCATAGTGGTGTATGCTAAGCAATCTATAGGAGGTGTTAAGGAGGCTTCTCTTTTAAGGTCCATCCTGGGGTGGTCCTGAGAAGATATAATCATTAGAAATCTTCCCAATTGGGATGACAACCTGGTTTGACAAATAATGCTCTAGTGCAGGGATGGCTGATAAATTTACTCTCTGGTGCTATTTCTGACTGATTAGGTGGTTGTTCAGGGCACTATGTTGAAAAGTTTAAAGCTAAAATTGAGTTGGAAAGAGCACCAGTTCATGATGTCTGCGCTGAATGCCAGAGGAAAGAAGGGTACTGATGCTTTGGGGTCGCTCTACCAAGTCTTTCCACTCAGGGATTTTTCCAGGTTGGGGAAAACAATAAGGATTCTACCTCCCTGCCCATGACTGTGATGGGCCATGTAGTACTGCTCAGCAGGTTGAGATACATCCCCACCCT